CCCCCCAAAAGTCACATGTCAAGTCTCCCAAACGAGCGTTTCGTACGAGACTTCCTCCAAAAGTCACGCGTCAAGTCTCCAAAACGAGCGTTTCGTGCGAGACTTCCTCCAAAAGTCACATGTCAAAGTCTGCAAAACGAGCATTTCGTACGAGACTTCCTCCAAAAGTCAAGCAGAAACACCCATCGGAGCACACACATCACGCAGCCCTGCCAATCAGTTTCGCGAGTCCAGCCCCTCCAAACAACACCCGTTCACACGCCAATCCCACTGTGACAGCGACGTTCACTTCTACCACAACTCACGACCTCACAATTCCCTGCGCCTGCCACGAATCTTTCCGCATCCACATGTCTAACGCGCACAAAGTACTGCGCCTGCCACGAAATGTCACCTCCGTCACACCTCGCAACCTCACCATTCCCTGCGCCTGCCACGAGAATCGCACTTCCACGCCTCAAAACCCACGCAAAGTGCTGCGCCTGCCACGAATAGTGACAATATCATCTCATGTCAGCTTCAACAAAATTTGCACCACACCACACGTTTGGAATGATTTCGACCCGTTCTGAGCACACTCCCATCCACCAAAATCGGCATTTCAGCTGAGACTTGTCACGAAAACAGAGCTTCGATGCCACACCCTGAAACGCAAATCCCAATGGCACGGCCATGTCCAACACCCCAAGAACACGACTCTCCAAACGCTAATCCCCAACCAACTACGCAGCAACCTGCGGATCTCACAAAACGCTGCGCCTGTGCAGCGAAATGCATCACGCTCCTTGCGCGACGTGTCATTTTCATGCAAATCACAGTGGAATAGCGTCGCAAACTGACACGTGACACATCCATGAAAAGTCACTTGCAACAGCTTCCCCCAATGGCAGCGCCTTAGCGCTCTACTGCGAACGGTTGCGGACGGTTGCGGACGGTTGCGAACGGTTGCGGACGGTTGCGGACGTAGAAACAACGGATCGCGAACAAGGCTCTACCCCCAGACCCCTGAGAGTTAAACGAGAACCCTTCGCTACGCATTCGGGAAAAAATCCGAAGAACACTAGGAAAACAATACAAAACAAAATAAAACACAATAGGAAAAATAGGAGCGGAGCGCAAATACCCTCGGCAAACCCCAGCACAAAAGGCAAACGAGGTCTTGCGGACTGCTTTTGAAGTTTGCTCAAGAGCAGGAACAAGAATCGATCTTACAGAGTATGGCTTGACACAGGCGTCCTGCTCTTGTTTGAAACTCTTGTCTTCGAAAGTGGATGCCAACAACCTTGAAGTATACACGACCTAGCAAAAACATGCAAACTTCATTTTATGTGAACATGTAAGTTGCAATAAAAAGGTCCCCTCCCCCTCATTGGGGGTGGGGATGGTTTACCTTCATTTTCCAGAGGACTTGGAACTGCCGAGGGGTCTCAGGATCGAAACCTCGCCGCCGGAGGCTTCTGGAGCCGAACCTCCTGACCTTCAGTGTCACAGTGACCGCTTGTGAAGGAGCTGGCAGGCCGTGCCGCGTGTGTTCCAGAAGAACGTTGCATGTAACAACCATTTGTCATATAATAATATGTTCGGATATAATGATGGGGGTGTACGGTGTACTTTTTTTTGTTTGCAGTTTTTTGGGGTAGCCGCCGCAATAACAGTCACCTTTACAGTTTATTACATTTGCTTTCATGTTGCTTTCACTGTTTGAGTTGAATTGTGTCTGGATAATATGGATCCTGACTATTGTTATGCCGCAGCCTCGATAACCCTGATTTTGGGGCACAATATAAATCCAATTTGATTTGGTTTCTTGGACATGTTGCATTATTTTGTCAATTAAGGATGACCTGCTTAAAGCACATTAAACATTACATGTGTATTACATGTGTTATCATGTTTTATACTTCAGAAGATCAGTGACAGTGAAACCCAGCAAAAGTAAAGACGATGAAACGGCAAACGCTTCGACATGTCGTCCTTTTTCGGTACATTTGTCATCTAAGAGCATTTGAAAGGCCTTTTCGCTTGGACCTCCCGCGTATTCGATGGATCTCGGTTGGTCGCTCGGCTTGCGGCCGCTCCGTCCAGGTGGCAAAGGACCTTGGTCTTGGTGGATGAAATCGGTGCACAGGCCTTGCTTCCGAGTGTGTCTGGGCACGAAGCAGCGGGGGGTCTCGCTTTCTGTGTGTCTTTTTTTGGTGGTAGAAAGATCGACACCTCTGCCACTGTTCCGAAGACTTGTGGCTCGGAGTCCAAAGAAGAAACATTACTTCTGCAGGGCTGTTCTGCTGACGAAGAGGTTTTTAGTAGTTTTTCTTTGTGGAAGCTGCTTCCAATGTTCAACAACCAAACTAGAATCACTACAGCACAAACTTGCACTGTTCCTGTAGTGAGTTTAAGAACCCACAGCAGGCCAGCAGCTGGACTTCTAGGAACAGTTCTTTTCTCCCTGCTACTGTGCCTTTGACTGGTCCCACAGAACTCTGAGGGCGGTTTCTTCAAGAGCAGCAAAAAACAAACCTCTACGCAACCTCACATCATCTCACATGGCCAACCCCCAGAACCGTCACATCAGAAAACCAAACGCTCAGTGGGCCTCACGGGTTTGCGTGGGTCCTAGATGGTTTTAAAGTTGTGGGCCGGAGGTTTGGCTTCACCGTCGTTGTCCCGTCGCTTAGGTCATCACATATGTTTCTGCAATCAATGCATGCGAGGAAGCTCAGGATTATCGGCAAACCTTGGTGCTTGCGAGCAAGCTGGAACTTGCAACGGGGCAGTGGAATCAGAACACTTCCGGACAAACCAGCAGTTCGAAGAATGTCCCAATCAGAAAGGAACAGACAACAAGATATATACAACAAGTATCAACAAGTATATACAATATACAATACAAATCGTTTAGGATCTATGAGGATACTACTATCCAGCACCATCCAACGGGTGGTGTATAGACCCTCCTGCCGTGACCATCCACGCATCGAAACTTTATGGTGCTTAGATACTACCCTTTCTGGCTTTGCTGTGACTTACCCATCAGACCCTTGGCACGCCTCGCGCGTGGTCGGAGACTCAGGTGACGGAGCTCTTACGAGGGCGTTGATGGCCCGACGGCTCCAGGTCGATGGCGGTGGCATTTAGCCAGTCTCCACGTGAAATGGTTCGGCAGAACGTGCTCAGAACGTGCTCAGGACACATGATTCATATGTTCGGCATTTTCTATGGCTCTTGGAAGCTTCTACATGGGAGCAAAGGCAGCGGAGTGATCGTTTCTACTTGATGCAGTCTTGTTGTTTGGCTTGAATTCAATCGTGTTTTGCTTTCTTGGGGTGCGTTTCTCCTAGACCCCAGGATGCTTTGCGTGATCGCTTCTTGCCCTCCTTCACCGTCAGTTCGATTAGACAACCGATAGCCTCGTTTGAAGGGGGCTCACTTGCTTACAGAGAAGGGTTGTCCACAGCACACAGTCACAGGATATGTATGTGATTGTCAAAACTATTGTGTATAGAACTTGGGGGGTGGGCATGGGAGTGCTCACCCCTCAAATCCGACGGTTTTTGTTACGATGTCATCCAGCATCACCCGGCATGGAAAAACACAAGTAGACTCTCAGATATATTTGCTTTATGATCTTTATGTTGCTTTCACTTCATGCAATATAACATATAGCCAATTGCCCGGTTGGGGTTGGGTACTGTTATTTTATGTTATTTTGCTCCCAAACTGATGAAAAGCTAAAACGAAACTGCTCCAATTTATTGTATTTATATATGTTTATTGCACGTCACACAACATAACGCAGACGCAGCAATACACTGGCTGGGTTCACTCAAGGCTGAGCAGCGTGAGCAGAGCAACCAGAGAACAGGCCGAGTGCTTGGCAGTGCCAGTGCTTTCTGAGTAGCAAATCCTTGTTGCGTGTTGCTGTTGCTGTTGCTTCTACAAGGGGTCTTGGCTACTCGGGTCTCTTTGTGTCTCTTCGGGCTCCTGGATTGCTCAAGAGGAATCCATTACTGTAGTCAGATTTAACCAGAGCCGAGGCAACAACCAAGAGTAATGAGCTGTGATTCCTGTCCATGGCCTCAACAGAAGTGAGGAGGCCCTCATGTGTTTGTATTCTTGTTTGTTTCGGATGATGCCAGCTGGGTAGTGGGGTTTAGGATCCAAATTCTATTGTCCATGCAGGTTCGGGGACGTTGTGCCAATGAACGTGTTCATATTGAAACCACTAGCCAGCCAGGCCGGACACGGCCAATATTTCATTATAGTTGCTCAAAGTCGGCCTTCCACCATTCTGTGTTTGTCTTGCGTTTGCCAGTCGAACTTCCAGAAATCTTCGGAGGTTCTTCTTTGGACCGATCCATGTACTTGACCTGGGCTATGAGCAAACATGCTGATCAGAATGGTAGCTTGCATGGTTGTGTTGCGTTGGATGTAAAATGACGGAAACATAGGCGTGCTACAGGCATCTAATAGGTTCGATACCTATAAAATATAGACCAGGGTCACTTACTTGATGTGCAAGCTTTTTTGGTTGCCGAACTTCCTGCCCCTGATGGGCATGCAGCCTTTGGCTGAAAAGTTTTTCATGTGCACACAGGCCTTCTTAGGCCGCCATGCCAGAGACCCCTAGCATTGTTGAAGAGTATTTTGATGTCATTTCTTTCGAACCAGTCGGGACGCCTGAAAATCGACAGAGACATCACTCAGACAACATCACTCAGTTTGATTTGATCAGCATGGTCTACCTGAGTGAGTGCGTTAATTTCCGTTGACCCCTCTTACAGACAGAAGACAGGGACTAGCGCAAAATCCAAGGATCTATGAGAGGTCTCCGTACTTTACAATGGCAGAGGTTGCCGGGCACAACCAAAAAGATGACGGCTGGATCGTCGTTGGTGGCTGCGTTTACAACATCACAGAGTTTGCCTCTTGCCTGAACTAGCCTCAGACGTGTCTACTTTTTGGAGGCTGCTGCAAAAACCATACTACAGACAAATCCTGCACCTGTTTTCTATATAACCACATAATATAGCTGTATTTGCAGTGGATTATGTATTCCATGATGTTCCAGTTGTTTTGTGTTGCAGGTGTTTAGTTTCCAAAAAATAGCTAGGTAGTCCTTCAGCAGTGCTTTGCGACAACAGCCTTCGGAGCATAGAGAGAGAGAGAGAGACACAGAGAGAGAAGGAGAGAGCGAGCGAGCAAGGTTGTATCTACACCAGAATAAGGGTGACTTCACCCGGACCTAGCCATCACCCGAACAAACATGCCATAACATGCCCCACACAGATTGAAAAGGGAGATGCTGAATATAGACCGGCGAGATCCTTTCGGTTAGGAGGTATTGCAAAGGGCATGTCCATGAAGCCTGAATCAACTACTCTGTGAGGTGCTGTTGTTTTCACGTCAGCGCAGTAAAGACGCGTCCATGCTGTCTGAAACGATACCACAGCACCAAACTTGGTTGCTTTTGAGAGACATAGTCTGACATGCTTCTTTAGAACGGGAGACATTAGTGATCGGAGACGAGCTAGTGCTTTGACCTGATGGGTGCGAGCGAGCTGGGTCGGGATGGTCTCCAAACCACTCATTGGTCAATTTTGCCACTGGCACGTGGCAATCTTGGCTGTTAAACATGTTGTTTACAACTCGAAGTTGTTGGCATAGTAGTGTTCCTTCCTATAGCTTGCCATCAGAACCCTTCCAAACAACCAAACAAAGCCATGGCACATTCCAGGTCTCTCAAACCTTGAAATCTACCCAAAATCTTCAGCTCCCCTCAAAAGCACTCCACATCACCAGCATATGTGTCCCGCTTTGATCATCTTTGATCTCTTTCACCGCTTTTCACCCACAGGTGAAGACCCATCCTGGTTGGAGCATCGCTGGACAGACCTCGACCATCTTGGCCATTTGCCGATGCTTGGGCACCGACTGCTCCGAGGAGTGGGAGCAGATCCACAGCCGCAAAGCCAAGGCGAACAGACGGAGCGACCACAGCGTTTGGGTGGTTTTTGGGGTCGATGAGTCGATGAATTGAAGGATGTGTTGGAGATCTTAGAGTCTTTTTTTTGTTGTACCGTGTGGCCCCCTTGGATTCTTGGAAAGAATGGATCAGGATGGGGCACATCCCCACTGACACGGAGGTTTTTCGCATGGCCCAGTCACAGACCTAGAGAGAGTTTCGCCAACTTTCATCCAAAGGGTTTGTGCAGTTTGGCCAGCAGTTAACTGGACATGTTCCCTGGGCTCAGTTAGGCAGGCTCCTTGGCCCGTTTCTGGGTTGGGAGGTTATTGAAAAACAACATGAAACACATGAAACGAGTGCTTGTTTTGATGGCTATGATGGACAAATTCGGTCGAGCCTTCAGCGAGGTTGGGGATATGGCAGGATCTGCTCCATTCGACGGCGACATCTCCAGAGGGCAATCTGAATTAAAATTAATATTAATAATTGAATCTGTCGGGTAGTTTGGTTTCAGACTTTTAGTTTAAGTACTATTACAATATACTTACTGTAGATATTTATTTCTATGCTTATTTCTGGGCATGCCTTTCTTGGGCCTTTGTTGACCAAAACTGTTTCCAGCACACAATGCTGGCTTGAAGCACTTCTTCAAGCAGCTATGGTTCTGACAGGGCAGCTTCCCCGAACCACACTGCGACGTTTGCCAACCGCAGCCTTTAGCACACGATGCAAAGCAGCAGTCAGTCAACGTCAAAACATTGGATTTCTGAAAGCAAGCAACTTAAACCATATTGGCTATCTAGCGCTTTGCGAAATCGCACATCCGCCGGATGTGGCGCCACATGCGTCGGGTGTGTTTCGTTCCGACGCATCTCCACCGGTCCAGGCCCAGTTGACGGAGTACTTCATCGGCCGCCTGGAGGGCGCCGAGGACGCGACGTCTCCCGCGGCGGCGCGTCAGCTCGCTGCTGGCGGACAACGTGTGGTGGTGCGGATGGAGGCTGATGGGATGCCGCTGAGCAGCACAACGGGGCTACAAGGAGTGAAACGGACCCGAGCAAGGATCTGGAAATGAGAACCATCGACCAGCAGTTCGACATTTATACCGGGAGGGTAGGGGTGCCATGGGGTGCCCATGATCCACGCACTTAGAGCCTAAGAACCACTCCTGGAGTATTCGGTTTTTTGGTACGAGCGAGGGGGCCTTGGTTTGGTTCTTTTGGTGTTGCGGAACTTGCTCCATGAACTGTAGGACCGTAGGGTGGCCCCCCAGCTAAGCTGGAACTGGGCGGATGATCAGAATCAGTTTGTATAGGACCCCGGCCAGAATCCAGGTGTTTTCCATCAGTGGTCAGGATAGTAAAGGAGAGTAACGGGGCAAGCACAGGCAGAAGGGGAAAGGACTGGGAAAGGGAAAGGGAGTGAGTGGAAAGAAGGGACAAGGGGGGTGGGTGCCCCTTGCAAGAATGCTTCGTGGTGGTTCATTGTTCCAGAACTTGAAATCAGACTTTCGCCTGAGCGGTCACAAGCGCTGCTGAACACACACCTAAATGAGGTACTCCCCCTCCCTGTTCCCACCTTGTGGGCAACAGCATTGCTGTCTACTGTGGTTTGTGATGTTTATGCACATTTGGGTGTGCTTTTGTTGGCAGCATGTTGATCCACTGGGAAGGGTACTATAGTGGTTTACTTTAGAACGGCTGTGAAACATTCATGGCTTGAGCCTGTCAAGGTTTCATGAATGTCAAGCTGACGGTCAGCTGTTGAAAGCTGTTGATTTGTGTCAACGTCGCGTCAATTGTACACACTCTTTGGGATCACCGAAGGCGACGAAACCCACCGAATCTTTGTAGAGGATGGCATGGTCATCCAAGAGGCCATCCACTTCCATGGTGATTCCAGGGATTGTGTGTAGTCTTGATGATTTGTATTCTTTTGCCACCTGCCTTACTTCAGACATGCCTTACTTGATGTCCACACATGATCACCCCAGACATCAAGTTCATTGATTCATGTCTACTGTGCCTTTTGCTTCCGCCCTTGACTACCAACATAAAGAAATCAAACAGACGGGGGGGGGGGAGGTTAGAATAGTTTAGAGAACAAGAAGGCAAATCGATTTCTACATGCATCACTCAGGCTCTAATTTGTTCTAATGTTCTATGATATATAGTGGCCCACGCCACCTGAGGAAGAAAGCGGACTACGCCTCTTTGAAGCTCGACCCAGACACCGCCACCCTGGGGAAGCTTCGGCGATTGCTGCGGATGGTCTTCCAAAGTCGGTGGCGAATTTGTGCTCCGCTGGAGGCCATCGAGATCTGGATCGATGGGACCAGTTGCAAGGAGGAGACCAAGACCTTGAGTGAGCTGGGTTTGGAGGAAGCAATTCAACCTGTGGGGTGGTCTCAAAATGGACTTGAGTCACCTCAAGGCAATTATTTTGTCTCAATATCTCTCGATTTGGCAGAATCCATTTTGAGACTCCCTTTTTTGTTGATGTCAGTTTCTTAGTCGTTGCCAAAAATTTGCTCGAGCCTCGAAATCTCTAGAAAACACTGCACTCTTGACTAGACCGGATGGTCAAAATCATCAAACTTCCCCTACAGGGTACTTGACCTCCAAAGACCACCCATTTTGGGTGGTGCTAGTACTACATAGTGCAGGGGTTGGTGCTGGTACTACCATCCTACCATGTACCTTGGCATCCGCATAGAGAGTTCTTTTTTCGTTTGGCCCGACGGTGGTGATGGAACCAGGTCTTTTGCTGGGCGACTTGGACAAACTCTGCGCGACTTTGGCACCATTGGCAAAATGTCCCCATTGATGGACAAGATCGCAATCGTTATATTGCATATATACTATATGTGAGATGAGTTGAGAGACCATGGCACCTACACAGACCATATATTTATATAACTCTATATATAGTTAGATGACACCGAGCGTTGACTAGATAATATTAGATATTCGGACGTGGCGTGAATGTCACACGCGTGGCATACTGCACAATTCTGTCCATTTTGGCGGGGCAATTCCTCAAAAAGAGTACGCTCTGACCCACTTATATTGGAAGTGGAAAATAGGCCCAAAAAAGACAATTTTGCTCTATGAAGAGGAGGCTTTCCACGTCCATGTTTAGTGAGTGGGAGAGTGAGTAGAATGAACCATGATTTTCATTGGATTTGGTTGATGAGAACGCCACAAAGCCGATCATCACCCTTCTTGGAGACACCCGTGGCGAACCTGGCTGTCGCGTGGAACGTACTGCGGGTTCTGCTCTTTCCACTGGTGGAATGCGCATATTGGGATGTCAGAGATGGAACCTGCATTTGTTTCTAGAGAGAATGGAATAAGAACCTTTGTGCTCATGGCTGATTGGGTCAAAACTTTGATGCAACATTTAGTCGAGCGACTTGATTTCTGATATGCAACATCACTGCACAATCGCAGGATTTGCAGATGTGCAGAGCTGTTCACATATTTTCCGACTAATACCGGATCCGAGATTGAAGCCATCCGCCGCATTCAGACCGGTCTGAAAAGTGCGCTATGTCCGCCACATGGGGCCCATGTTTCAGCAGTCAGCTTATTTAGTTGTTGACTTTCCAGATTGTTCTTGACTAGCTTTAAAATTCAATGATACGATCGAATTAGTCGTTTTTGCGCCCTGGCCCACCTGGCCCAACATACCAGAAACTCGGTGTGCTGTGCTGCCGAGATCAAGTCATTTTAGTGTATTCATGTGCCATATTTTATGTCGTACGTGGGGGCAGCGCATGTCACCCCTGATCCAGCCCAAGAAGCGATGAGATCCGCCAAGAGCAACCCAGCTGGGCAGGATGAATTAGTGTCATGTATGCAGTACACCTTTCATCACCAGCAGAAACAAACCGAGTAGGTCTTTGTGCCAAGATCCGGCGCTTCACTCATGTTCAGATCCGGCGCCTGCCACTGGGAAGCCATGAGGATAAGAGCTGGAAGCCGTAGGCCTTTGAACTCGCTTCTTTTTCAGACCTGCTCAATGTCATGCAGCTGAGTCTCAGCAGTGCAGCAATTGGAGCGCGCGCCGCTGGGGGTGTCGGATGCTGCCGGACCCAGATTTGAAGAAGCGAAGCCAAGAAATCACCAGCCATGCGCAAAGGCGGCAATGGCAGAAAGCACTGGATATTTTCCGGGATGTGAAGCAAGGTGGCCAGGCAGATGTCATTCTTTACACCACTGCTCTCGGGGCATGTGGAGGATGGCGACGAGCTTTGAAGCTGGTGATGGAAGTGCAAGAGAGCAAGGCCACAAGTTGGAAAGGCGTTTATACTATGGGGAAAAACATGGAACCACATTAAAAAACAGTTTGTAGATGTTCCATGGGCTGAAGAAGGCTGGCGGCTGGCCAATAGATTTGTCAATTTTTGTTGGTCCATTCTTCCTGTTCATAGTAGCGTGGCTTTGATTTGGAGGCCCTGCAGCCCAATATCACCACGTTCAGTGCGGCGCTACGCAGTTGCACCCAAGCCGCTCAATGGATCGTAGCATTTCATTTGCTCGCAGTAGCAACCGGTGGGTCCTTGACGGTCAATGACATCACCCTAGGTGCTGCCATTGGTGCCTGTGGCAAGGGTTTCTTGTGGCAAGACGCACTTGAGCTCCTGCGGCTCTCCTCGAGGTCGACCTTGCGGTTGAATATTATCGGACTAGGAGGGGCCATCAGTGCTGCGGGAAGAACCGGGGCTGCAAGCTTTGCCGCGAGTGCCTGGCAAACCGCAGTGAGCTTGCTGGAAAGTTGTGTAATGCAAACACTGCGCCAGAGTACCATGGCAGTGAATTCTCTTATCGATGCTTTGTGGCTGCAGCTGGTGCTGAAAGAGTTGTATTAGCCAGGGGCTTGGTGTGTAGTGTGTAGGTCTAATTTAATCCAATTTAGAATGCCCCAAACATGCCAAGACTATGCCAGGATGAAGACCATGCGGAAACTCCTAGGGGACCTGGCTGACAGATGGAGGGAGTCCTCACACCGACACCAATTGCTTTTCAACGACCACGCTGAGGCTGTCAAGTTAAGCCCAAACCTGTGCCATAGATGGCCTGTTACGATTGGTTGGTTGATTTATATATATATATAGACAGAGAGAGAGAGAGAGAGGCGATGCCCCCGTCTACAACCAATACATTTGTGGTACCTGGCACTGACTCCTTTATCCCCAATACAAGGACATTGTTGTTGCCTGTGCCCCATCTCAAGAGTCAGATGTTTCAGGTGGCTTTTAACTTTTAACTGGGAATGATGCGAATCCCGCGAATAGGGATCTACATATTCGGATTTGAGCCCAAGCCTGCCTTCTAAGTGTGAGTGTCAGTGAGGAAGGTCCTCATCTTACGTTCATTTTTGGTGTCAGTGCTTGCTCGACCGGTCAAGACAACACAGATAGAACGGCCCCCCGTTTTTGAGACCACCGAGCAGTGTCCACACCGCTTTGGGGGACCGAGGCTGACGCGAAGACCAGCCGATGGCGGGCAACGCTCGACGCGGTTCGCGCCGTTCGAACGACGGTCTTGGATCTCATCTCCTGCAGTTCGGCGCTGGCAGCTTGCGTTCCTTGGGCCCCGGGGGGGAGGGAAGTTACCGGAGCTAAGGAGGCATGGTTATTTTTTGGGTGACCGTGCGCACGGTGGTGGCAGAGATGTTGATGTTCAACCTTTATCACTTGGGATGATTGATCCCAATGACTTGATCAAGTGCACTGAAACTCCCATCACCTAGAATCTACAGCCCTCTTTGCATTGACCAACAGAGCTCGTGTGTGTGTCCACTGCCGTTGCCCAATCTTAGAGATGTGTCATCAAAACTCAAAAGCATAGGAGTCGCAAATGTTCTTGCTCTAACCCGTTGACCATGTTGAAGTTTCTTGTGGGAGCCTTTTCAGCATGTTCGTGGTGTATTTCAACTCTATGAGTCCATGAGCAGACACGTTGCTGACCGAGGGCAAGGACTTGCGGTGGGAAGAGTCACTGTCACTACTGCGTGGACTAGCGGTCCGACAGCTTGAAGCAAATACCGTGGCATACAGTTCTGCAGTTTGTCAGAGGTCATGGAGAATGGCGCTGGGGCTACTGGAACGTGCTGCAGGAGCTGAAAGGTTCCAGGTGTTTGGGCACTTGATCAACCTGCACCATGGTAGACTCCCACGGTACTCGTAGCATGGTGGAGAATATGGAACCAAGGGCCCCCCCCGCCTGGGTGTCGATCCAGAACCCCCGAACAGAGTCGAGGTGCTTCGGGATGAACCATGTGCCAACTCCCAGAAGGCTCTAGCTGCCCGCACAGAGTGACAGAGTGTTGCGGACCTGCACCAGCGGCACGGAAGGCACATCCCTAGAAGCTGATCCAGTGATTTGTGCGGCTACCATCAGCGCCTGCGAGCGTTTCGGTCAATGGACGCAAGCCTTGTCAATGCACAACAAGTTGCAAGAGGAGCATCTCGAGGTGGACCTAGTGACTCAAAATGCCGCCATCAGAGACTTGTCCAACATCGTGTGTATTGTTTTGCAAGTTCCAGGGTCGCATTTTTTGCCCATGTCATGAACATATAGCTTGGCAGGTCCTTGTACTTCATTGCAGATGCATGTGTTTGTTATCTTGAGCCTTTGTCCAGATTGAAGATAACTATAAACTATAAACAGTCCTACAGCCCTAACCAGTCAACAAAAGACATTTCTGTAGCACTGGCATAGACTGAACTCGCAAGTGCTTATATATATATATATATTTATAAAGTATACATGAAGCAACATTAATATATCTATATATGTGTTTGTTCTATGCCGCCATTGCCTCCAGTTGCTTAAGCCTTACCCATTTCTTTCCAAGACTCGCGGTGCCAACTCGAGGTGCCTGCGGGGCTTGGGCTCGGTCCCTGCGACTGCTGGGCCTAACGCTCGGCCTTCAAGCGAACGCGGTCACCTACGGTGCCGCGGTCGACCGCGTCACTTCCGACCGCTGGCCACAGGCCGTGCAGCTGCTCCATGTGGGGCTCCTTAAGCCAAATCAGATGCGTCTAGAAACACCGGGAGGGTAGCTGGATCATTCGATGACACAGCGAATGTTCAATGACCGCACATTGCCAGCCTGGCTTTGGTTTCAGAGAATCTTTAGCAAAACATGCGGGTTGTCGTGTTTGGGTTTTGGCATGTTTCATGGTCTGTCTATTTGAGGGTGACACTGCGCGTGTGAATATGTATGTTGGTAAAACATGCTAATAATGTCCATAGACGCACTCTCCTTGTTGCCTGCAGGCACCGGGAATTTTTGGGTTCTGGGGTGGTCATATGGCTGGTACATTTGGGCAGGCTTCCAAGCGTTGAAGATTAAGTAGGATCCAAAACCGCATGTAACAGCATGTGCTTGGTTCAGACAGCACCTATAGCCTATAGCCTATTAGCTTTGTTCTGTTTTGGTTTTCCGTCGTTTCCGAATCGCGCGCCTGAAGATGCTCATTGTGGAGCTGGCCCTGTTTACGAGTTTGAGCCCCACCAGTGGTTTCATTGAGTGGGAAACCTGCATTCTTCAAACACTCACGAGCAGCCGAAGTTCAATCACACTTCCCGGACCCGACCCTACAGGTTATTCAGGGCTTTGCAAGCCACGGTGGTCACCTACACTTCAATTATGGCTCTCGCAATCCTGTGGCAGCAAAGCCTTCAAATGTTGCATCAGCACCTTCGGTTTGATTCGTCCGTTGGTTGTTTCAAGTACATCAGACCTTGCATTGTTCATTGCCAATGGTTGCAGGTTCCTGAACATTTTTTGAGGGAACGGAACGGGAGTTGCTTGAATTTCGGAATGAGTCCTTCAGTGCATTTGCGCTGCGTGTTTATGTTCACCTAAGCGGGAGCTGGATCCTAAATTAGTTGAGCATATGACTTCTCACGGTTCAAAACTATAGAGCAGGTCTTGTCACCATTCTGGAACCAGAATGCTGTTGAAGCACTACTTGGATCCATGGTGTTGTCTCAATCCCCTATCACATGGGAGGGGTCAACCCGAGTGAATCACTTGCAAGACCCCCCCAGTGAATGACACCACCATAGATCAACTTGGACTTACTTAGGCACGTGCTATCTTCACTAGACCTGGTCACCTGCAATTCAGCGTTGCATGCGACCTGGCTGACAATTCCATCCAGGCCATCGATTGGGTTGATCCAACCGTATCGGACAACCTCCGCCAGGTCAGGGGTAGTTTTAAAGTTGAAAACCTGACGAGTGCAGAAAGGCCGGGACTGGAAACTGTTTGCACATGGGTGAGAATCAAGAGCATTGACCGTCAGTACACCTTTGTTTTTCCTTCAATGGTGTTTTTCCTTCAAAGCATTAAGACCCACAATGCGATGAACACTGACTGCCGTCATGTGTCCACGGCTATTCAATGCTGCAAATGTCAGGTCTTTCTCCTATTCTTCACCCTGTTTTGGTGGCTCGCTATTGACATGAAGGACTTAAGGACCACATCCGTGCTGATTTCGTACGATGGGAAGAATAAACCCAATGTCATGGAACAGGAGGTCGTCCGAATGTCTTCGCACTTCATTTCCAGAGTTGTTCTCCAGTTTTTTGGGGACCAACATACTCACAAACTTTACACACGCTCATCAGCTCATCTATAGTTGAATCTCATCTACCAGGAGCAAATAGCTACTAGCTCCTGGCATCGCTCCTAGTAACAAAGGGCATCGCTACTAGTGTTTTCTACCAGCACCACCCAAGGGGTGGTTATTCGATGGAAAATACATCTTCAGGGGGTCTATCAACCACCCGGTCGCGCTCAGGCGTTCCAAGGCGCATCGGCCTGGCTGCAGGCGATCCACACGCTGAAGTTGATGGAGGTACGACGCATAGCAAGAGAGCCCTGGCAGACAAGACATTTGGAACTGGTCTGTGCCATTGCACACGAACTAGAATTCCGAGCTCCGAGCCAACAACAGGGAAAGAACTGGTTTTGATTCGGCCGCGTCGCGCGGCATCGCGTTGGTCGCGCAGCATCGCGCAGCGTGGCGTTACGCCAGGTGCGTCGGGTGCGCCCGGGGGGCATCTCTCTTAGCTTGGCGTTGACAGCTCAGAAGGGTGTGAGTCTTGGCATTGCTACAGGCTGTCCAGGGTGATGACTCTGCATCCCGCGATATCACGCGGGTGATGTCCACCGGATGAGCTGGGCGAAGGGCGAAGATGGGGTGAAACACACGTCGTGATTCCTTGCCGAGTGAAAGGGCCATGGACCATGGAACCAAGCAAGAATCACAAGAGCAAAGTTTAAAGCAAGCATTGAGGTAGGTGCGCAAGAATCTAGCCAATCTAGATTGCCTAGACTAGGATGCTCCTTCCTACGGCCCATTTGGGTACTTTCCCTCTCCGATCACGGAGCCCTAAATTGGAAGCACACAGACGTCCGGCCACAAGCATAAGAAATGAAAAACAATGTTGCAAGCTGAATAGCTTTCATGTGTTGCATTTCATTTCATCGGTTCATCGACATTTTTGGGTAGGACTCCGACTAATGTATATAGTTCGGGAAAGCTGTCCCGGGATGTTGTCGTCGTCATCAACGTCGTCGTCGATGTTCTTAATTCATGATTTCAACGACTTCTCGGCAGTTATTTGCTCTCAGAGCTTTGCCAAGGATGGAAGCTGTGCCACTGGTTGATGGGCTAAGTGCAAGCTCGCTTGATGCTCTGACGAAAAAGCTGCCATGCGTGGCTCTTTATCGCAGCGGTTTTTGTCAGACTTTGAGTTTGGAACTCTATATATATTGTACATAAATAAGGTTTCAGTTGATCACGCGTAGCATGACAGAAACTGAAAAAAAAACTTGTTACGGTCCTTTGTTTCAACATTTGGTAGAGGAAACGCAAGTCTCAACAACTCAAATCAAAACACGATTGCTTGGGAGGGTCTGATCACTGTAGGGCCAAGAGTGGGACTTAACTTCGAATGCTGAAGCTACGCCCACTTCGCAAAGTTCATGCCAAGTTGTTTTTTTCGTGGAATGTTCCAGAAATCCATCTCATCAGAGTTCGCGTCGTTCGTGCAGCGAATGCAGGTCTCCAAATCCACCCAAATCGGTGATGTTTGAAAGATCACCCGCATGGCCAGCTGATCTTTGAACCCCCTAGCCTGCGATGATGTTGTACGGCAGCTCTGAAGATATCCCCGGCACCAGCGGGACCTCCATGAAAGATTCGATTTGAAGGCCTGCTTTTTTGGGGCGGAAACGGAGACGGCACCGGAGCGTCATTGAAAGGGTGTCATATGGTGTCATGCATTGTCATGCTGCAATTCCCTCCGTGGCGGAAGTGCTGGAGTGGATGAGTGGCTTGCCACCCCCCTGCAAGATGATATTTGAAGTAGCCCTTGATGGATTACCATGTAGAAATGTGATCAATCAATTTCATGTCGTGCTTTTGTCCTTCCATTCGATTCTCGTACCAGAAAAGAAGACAAACGTACCATTTCCTGCAAACAACGGATCTTCCGTTGCTTCCCTTCAATCTCGTGCGTCCTTTCAGCCAGCCGCGGTCCAACGAGCCACTGTTCGCCCTGAAGTCGTTGCCAATGGATGCAGAGCATTGTGGACTACAACAAGGCCTGAGTGACATGTCAAACACCTCGAGGGGGAGCGACGAACTGCTTCGCTGAAGCTACACCTCGATCCCGATCCCCCACCCAATGGCCAACCAAATGGATGGATTTGTTTCAAGTGCTTGGGATTGAGCATGAAACCTATAGTGGTACTGTAACACCATAGCAAGAGTTTTTTTTTTGTGTGTGTGTGTGTGTGTTTGGCTATGCGGCTTAACGCAATGTTCCCACAACCTAACGCAGTCCCTCCTGGGCACTATATAACTATATACGTATAACAGTATGAAATAGTATGTATAACTTCTATAATCACCGTTGCTACCGACAAGATAAATGGGGATGTTTCTTTAATGGACTCATTTAGGACAAGCCAGTAAGATGACCCCATGTATAAAATGGGGTCCCGTCATTCAGAGGTTGCACACCTTTTCTTTATGTCACATATCACATAGTCATGAACAACGTCAACTTGGACACCCATTTTATCTCACTTGTTGAATAGACATCTTAAGATGATGAAGCAATAGATCCATTACAGTAGTTGCATTGAGTTTAACAAAAGTCATCTAGAATGAACAACATCGAGAATGTGTTTGTATATTCATGTGCACTTTGAAAGCCATTCTGCAAGACATTCCACAGGCATCACTTCCATCAAAAAAGGCATTGATTCGGGTCCCTGGCAATATTTCTCGCACTGCAATATTTAACAGACAGGGTTATGGATCCATTCCTGTATGTCGTTGTTTCAGGTCTTTGTGCCATTCGGCGACTCTTTCACACGAATCCATCACTGGCACATGCTCTGTGGCATGAGGTCCTTAAAGCAAATGTTCCCAGAGGTCCTTGCAGTGCTTTAGCAGCCTATCTAGATAAAATGCATTAAAATGCAATGGATTCCCATCCCCGGAGGTGTAATGAACCTACCGAGTGGCCACCAGCTCAACCTTCAGTATCAATCTACGCAAGAGATTCGATTTGTTAGCCGACTTGCCTGGTCGTTTTATGTACATGCAAAAATGTCACCGCAAAGGAGTAACAGCAATGCCAGGTAATTCGTATACCCAAATCAAAATTATGAATCAATTGTCGGCTCGAGAACAAAAATTGATTTCACTAAATGTTACGGGAGGCTATCAGACGGCAGCAGTAAAAGCCATATGGGATAATACACAAACATTAGAATGTGAGCATTGTGGTCAGCCGATACACACCTGCATCGCCTTCTGCATTGTGCGCCTTTTGAACACGTGAGGGCTGATCACACTCAGGCGGTGAAGATCATTACTGAACATCCTCATTTGGCATGGCTGCCTCTCACTACTCAACATCCACAACAAGTCAAATATAACAGACTTAAACTGTTTCGTGCTGGGCCTTTCATGGAACCCACACATACACAAACTGACGAGGCTATTCAGATTTTCACAGATGGAACATGTGACCGACCACAACAACAAACTGCTGTAAGGCAGCATGGGCAGCTGTTCGTCAGATCCATTTATTAATGACTTTGAAATCTTGCAGGTGTCACATGTGAAGGTTAACCAGACGATTAATCGGGGTGAACTTGAATCAGTTGTTTGGGTGTCAGAATTTTACTCGCAACAGGTACCTCGTCCACTGGTTGGTATCTATACCGATTCAAGTTTTGCGGAAAAAATGTTTGCTCCTTGAGCACGCGCCTGCTTGATCCCAAAACATATAACCTTGCTCACTATGATTTAGTTTAACCCCTGCGTGTTTCCTGGGATGCAAGATTCTATCAGATTCATAAAGTTAAGTCCCACCGGGACTACGCACATGCACATGATTTTTTTGATCTTTGTTCGATTATATATATATATATATGGGAAATGCCTTGGCAGATGAAACAGCTTAATTACTCAATAGGCAGGATATTGATACGTTCCGCCAAGCAGCCGATAACATCTATTAAACACAGTGCGAGGCAGATGGAGGACTTGATATGTGTTTACCGGTACTTGTGCACATTGAATAGTCTTCAATCGACCCTTAAACTTGAAAAAGAAACAGAAGAAGGAGCAGCCTTGCATGCACAAGGACTCGATGATATCTCACATCTACAAAAAGTCCTAAGTACATGGGAAATTGACGGACAGGCATGGACGGACTCCATGAAGTAATCGCACAAGCGTGTCCAGCTGGGGCGCAGATAGCTAAGTCAGTGTTTCTGGAAATTCTTTCAGCAATGGATTTGGCGCCATCCAGATCTTCCTGCAACTGATGGAATTACCTGGTATGAACTTGTTGTTTCGCTTTTCGCAGGTAGATGTATGCCTATTTGGCGAAAAGTCTACATCCATCAACCACATCCATTTGAGTTCTTTTCACCGGACGTGTCAGAAACCTGAAGTTCGGAGGCTGTCGCATCAGGCCACTAACTTTCGTCATGTTGTCCAGTATCTAGAAAAAGCTGCCCAAACTCAGCTGTATCCTCGATATAGCAAGGCAGGTGCCTCTAGAATGGTGCGGCTAGGTTATCATCGAAGTTTAGTGGGGGGAATTGTATCTCGTCCCACACTTCCACAACGAGAACACGCAATGCAAATCTTGCGTGACTATGCCTCTACACCTGGCCAACCGTATCCCTTAAATGTTCGCCTACCTTTCGTGCCAAATTTGTCTTGCCCCATTTTTGGCCATCATTTGCCTGCAGATATTCCTTTCTCACAACGACAGAATCTTTACCAGAGAGTAGAAAAGCGTATTCATACACGCAAACCGATAGATTCCCTTGGTCTTGATCAGTAAATTCGCAAATTGTCCGTCAGGCTGACACAGTTCGTCTGAATTCGCCTTTGTTTTAACCTGGGGATGCACCGGTTAAACATGCTGTTTCGTTGCACATTTTGTTACAGAGTCAGTGTCTAGATTCTCCTCCGGTACCCCCCAGCCAATGGCAAAAAAAACTGAAAGGACTGGGAGGTGCGTTTGGATTGGAGCGCAAGTTGTGTGTGTGTGTGGTCCCTGGCATTCTTTTTCGGCAGTGTACCAGTCACCTCCAGTGAGAGAATCTGCCAAGTATGTAACACTAAAATAGAGTGGGACGAGCTGCCACAATCAAATTTTGTGAAATGCCCCCTCCCTCCGAAGCAAAAAATGGACAAACAACCACTCAGTTTCCACCAATGGATCAATGGCTTGTGTGTTTCAAGCCTTGGTGATGAGTCCGGACGTCACGTGCACCGAACGAACGAGCTATTCAACCCTTCTGAAATGATAATACTTTAGCAATTCTTATTATGCAGGCCACACATACTGACTTTTGTTCACCAATTGTTGAATTCAAACATGTGTGTTGCATTTCTTATTATGCAAGTATGGATTTCAATGATGAAACGGAACTGAGGCCTGCATAGAGTTTATAAACTGATTGCCACAGCAGGTCTGATCTAAAATGGCATACACGTGCGCCACTGCGATATACTCTTTACGGGCATGCTTCTGTAGCAAGCGGATCAGATCTGACCTGAAACGGGTTCGATGAAAAATGCCACCCTGGAGCTAGAGGCGCATATTGGGACTACACAAACGGTAGTCAGACATGGTAGTCGTTATAGTTGCGTCATTGTAAGAATAAGATGCAAGATGATGCAAGTATTGTTAGGTATATGTGTGTTAGCTTAGTGTTCTCGAAAAGATACTGAACGTGTCATGGGTTGTTTCACTTGATGTTGCCCGAATGCAATCGATTTCAAAGCTTTTTGGTAGGATTTTCAACAACAGATGTTGCAGTCTTCAAACCAGAAAGAAGAACGTGATAATTTGACAAACCAAACATATATATATATATTATGTTTTATTGTCATCGACTGCGGATGATTTCCCGACAATCTCCCTAACGGAGTTTGCTGAGAAGTCAGAATGTCCATACCATTCCATACCTATTTTATCTTACTTTTTGTCATGATTAACGTGAAAAAAACTGTTTTGACTAGTAAGATGTTTGACCTTCAGTAGATGGACAAAATATTCAAACCCATGTATCAATAACTGTCGCCAACCCCTGACCCCCAAAGGTCAATGTTGAACATAACTTGATTGAATTTGTG